TAGTATACTACCCTCTCTCTCTCTCTCTCTCTCTCTCTCTCTCTCTCTCTCTCTCTCTGCGTGAATTTACATAGAAGAATTGCATGGTTCCACAGTTGAAAGGTAGCGCATTATCGCTCGCCGACGTGTGAAACCAACGATGAAATTTCCTTGAAAATATTTATATATAAAAAGAAGCCAACTCGTCGATCTTTCGAGACTTTCCGTTTCTTCCTGCGAAACTTGCTTCCTCGAAGGAAAAAAAGGGAGGAACGAGGACATCGTCTGACGATCCGAAGAGAAAAACGGGGACATTGTCGCGAACCCCGGTAGCGAAGAAAAGATTTCCAGAGGAAGTCTCTGAGATATCCGACGTCGAACAATGATCGCCCGTCCGAGCCGTCGGTGACACGCGGCTTCATTATCGTCGTTATCGTTAATCCCCACGAAACTTTTTATTCCATCGTGCAACTGCCTCCCGGTCGGTCGGCCAACCTTCCTCTCCTCCATCCACTTTCTTTCCCCCCCCCCTCCATCCACTCTCCTCTCCTCAGTAATCGTCTTTTCCTTGTAATTAAGTCGTTCAAGGTTCTCCGCGCGTTATAAGGACGACGAAAAGAAGAACCTCGATGGTTGCCAACAATCGAGGATAAATGTCTTCGCGTCTTCAAAGCTCAACACTTGTAACACGTGCGATAGATAGATAGATAGATACGGTATTTCGATGCGTTTGATTCTCCCCTTCTTTTTTTTTTTTTTTTCTACTTTTCACATCGTCAAAGTTATCTCGACTTTACCACAAAATTATCGAGTGGCGTCGATCCGGCTACGCTTTTTCATCCCCCTCCACGAATCCACTTAACGCTTTGACGATCGTTTCGCAATCATCGAAAACTTTGGATTTGATCGGAGAGTCGATTAACGTTTCCAGTCAACAAGCGGCGGGAGTTTTCGGTTTTCATTAAAATTTTCGATTCGGAAATCAAGCGTTCGCGGAAAGTTGAAACGCAACAGCGATGAGGTGGTGATAGAGGGGATAGGGAGAAAAAAAGAAAAGAAGGAAAAAAAAAAGGAAAGAAAGAAGGGAGGGGAAAGAGTTTTCGCTACGCGAAACACGTGAAATCGTTGAAATCGCGACGAAAGGTGCACAAAGAAACGAACCCCGTCCCTCGAATTAAAATATAAATATGTTA